AGGTACAGAGACAGGGAGAGAGAGAGTCCCAAGCACACTCCACGCTGTCAGCACAGAGCCCCACGAGGTGCATGATCCCACAAACCAGAAGATCATGATGCAATCAAAACCAAGAGTCAGATGCTTAACCATCTGAGCCACCCAGGCACCCCTCGAAAATATTTTGTGTTCATTATGAAATAGACACAAAACTTGCCAGAAATTTAAAAGGATAATACTACATATAAATAAAAACTATTTTCTCCCCATGTCCGAGGACTGTTTTGCAATTTACATTTTAAGACACTTGAGCTAAACTACTGGCTTTGCTAACTACTATCACAAAGAAGCCCTTCAAATCAGTAATCCCAAAACCAGTGATCAGTTTGGCAGACATCTCCTGTTGTCATTTAACTGGACTCTAGCTACTTACTGTATACAGAAAAGCACACTTTCAGTGACTTTCATATACATTGAGTAACCACTTTACCTCTTAAGGTTGGACAAAGAAATTACCTTGTTTGAAGTGAGCTACTATGAATACACACTACAAAAATAATTTGGGTGCGGTGAGGACAGCGGCAGTTGGCTGACTATTGGTTGTCCTAACCTCAAGCCACCTTGATTTTCTTTTTCCTTTCCCTTTGCTCTAATTCTTTAGCTTGTTATTATATTAACATATTTAAATATCTTTTCAATAACTTTTTTTTTAAGTTTATTTATTTATTTTGAGAGTGAGCGAGTAAGTGAGAGACAGAGATAGGGAGAAAGAGAGAATCCTAAGCAAGCTTCACACTGTCAGCACAGAGCTGGATGCAGGGCTCAACCTCATGAATCGTGAGATGGAGACCTGAGCTGAAACTGAGAGCCGAATGCTTAACTGACTGAGCCACCCAGGCTCCCCAACATGCTTAAATATCTTGGATGTATTTCATACTCAGCTACAGAATAAATAGGAAAATCATTTTGTAAGCAACAAAAACAAAGACTGAGTATTTACAATAACAAGAGGAATAGAAGTTGCTGACATAATGAAAGTTTTTCAGAGCACCAAACACTAGGCAGAAACTTTTAAATTCTCTCATTTAATCCTTTCATAAATTTATAGATTATTTATGAAAACAGATGCAGGAAAGTTACAAAATGTGCCCAAAGTTACACAGGAATCTAAAGAAGCTGATGGGGGAAAAAAAGGCAATCCCATTTTGAAAGATAGTAAGTTCAGAGGACACAATGATGATGGTTCTGTTCACATTTTCAAGGCAAGTATCTGATGTGAGAGGTGGACAACTGAACAAATGATTACAATACATGAAAGTCTCATGAAAGATCACAAACATATACATGGGATACAGAGATGTGTACCTAATTCTTCCCCAAAATCACAGAGGCTTCCCATGAAATGATATGGAATTGAGTCTTGAGGACAATTAAGATTTTTGCCAAAAAGACAAAAAATAAAAGACCATTCTAAGTAAAAGGAACAGTATATGTAAAAGATGATTATACCAACAGGTTTCTAAGCCTTCAACACATGCATATCCACACATATACAGTCATCATATTGCAACATAATATGTATATCAAATATCATGCTGTATACTTTAAACTTACATAGTGTTTGTTATATGTGAATTATATCTCAGTAAAGCTGAAAATAGGGGCACCAGGGTGGCTCAGTCAGTTCAACGTGTGGCTCTTGATTTCAAGTCAGGCTGTGATCTCATGGTTCATGGACACAATAATTAATTAGGTATCTTTTAATGAAGAGATTATGAAACACTTTCCAATTTAGAAAAAATTTTCCATATCTCTTAAAATGAAAAAAATATTCCTTTTACAGTGTAAGTGGGCTGGAGTAGTATGAGAGATGCTATTACAAGAGTTCTAGAAAGAATGGCAGTGAATACTAAGGCAATCACATGGAGAGACTGACAGGTGAGGAGGGTATACATCTTGAAACATTTGAAAGGAAGTGTCTAGAGATATTACTGACTGATTAGACTATGAGTGTACAAACATGTTCCCATGTACTTCAGCAACCACCCTGTAACACAGGCAGACAAATATTAACCTCAGTTTCTGAGCGAAAGCAACCAAAGCATGAAGGATTTAGATGAAATGCCCCAATCATATGGAAAGTAAGGAAGAAGTCAAGACAGATGTCTCCTGTAACTGCTTGACTATTTCCAGTTGGCATAATTACCCATCTTATTCACTGATTACTCCCAATCACCTTTTTGCTATTTCTAAATATGAAACACACCTTACTCAAAGATCCAAACCTTAAAATATTCTCACAGAGAGCATCTGAAAACATTTAAATATGTTGAAAACTCTGAGAGGAATACCCAAAGAAGTTTCAAAAACATAACTGTCAGGAATGCTCCTTTAACATTAAGAAAAACAACCTTTCCCTTTCCCATTATGGTTCTCATCTTCACATAAAGCAATATATAACAAAAATATGAAAATAATTCATAAAAATAAACCATTCTTTTCAATCATTCTAAGCGTTCAGTTACAGAATAAAACATGCCAAGTCTTTAGTACCACAAAACTTTGATGTATAGGTTATATACTAATAATACTTATGACAAAGGATAGTAACAAATTATGCCGTACATCTTTAAGAATTTTTGACCTTCAGCAGTTTAGCAAGAAAAGGTTGATGATAGTTTGCAAATGAAAAGATAACTCAGCTACTGTCTAAAAGAAAAAATGCTTCCTTTTGATCTCTCTGAATCGCTGACAGAAGAACAAAAGAAGTAAAGGGCCCCAGAGTAGCCATAAAACCAATTTTCTACTGGATGTTTTCACAAATACTAATTAACATTTTTGCTACACAGCAGCATCCTTATCTAGGCCAACTATCAATATATAGGTATTTGAACAGACACATAGGTTTTACATACTGGTGACTTTAATGAAAAGTAAATGAAAAGCTCTTATACTCTTTTCCAAGTTGCCTGAAATATATCCCTTTTGAATCAAAAGCAAACACACACTATTTTTTCAAGAAACAGCAAATGCAAGTATCATGACCAAAAATCTAATCTCATAGTTATTACCCTGAATCAACTTAGCTCTTCCCTCTGCCAAATCCCTGACAGTACTTAGTAGGCTGAGTACTTAAAACTAGCAACAGAAGCCTTTAAATGCAACAATGCCACACTTCACTTAGACTCATCAAATGGACTGAATCCCAAGCAGTGTGCCTGTTGCTCTTTCTGGTCCACTCAGGAACCCAGCATAACCCCAAGACGACAACTTTCAGCACACATGAGAGTTACAAGTAAATGACATGAGCATAAGCTATAGCTACCTAGAGGAAATATAGAATCTATTAGGCTTCATGACATGACACTAAAATAATCTAAGAACACACTAGAGCTGAGACTGGAGTAAGTAATCCAAACACACATACAAACTATGCACTCTAGCTCATATAAGGAAAACCAAATAATGCAATTAAAGGTACTTTAATTTAGAAATTCTACTTCTTAGAACTTTTCTAAAGAAACCAATAACTGGACACATGTAACCACAAAGATAATTAGCGTTAAAAAAAAACCTAAAAATTCTGAATGACCAAATATTGGGGAGTAAATAATGACAATTATTATAATGGAGTATTAGGACACTATAAAGAGACACTATTTAGGGTAATGTAAAAAATTTTTCTTTAAGAGCATTCAAAGATGTTCAGATTACACATGTAAATTTTAAAAAGTTATAAAGCAGAACCACGTTTAAGTTTTACAAGTTGGCCAAAAAGCTTATATATTTATCTTTAGGTAGAAAGAACTTTTATCTAAGAATATACAAAATATCATCAACGGTTACATAACTGGGTGGTAATGACTAGTCAACTTTCAATTTTTCTAAAACAGGCATGTACTACTTGCATAATAATGCAAAACATGTTCATTTAAATTAATTCTTTATGGGGGAATTTATTACATAAAAAGAAATTATTTTTTTTAAAGAAATGATTAAATAAAAAGAACAGGAAATGAACACTGTGTACCTCTGGATGTGGTGAAAAAAATAGGGGATCATTTCATGTAACTCTTTGTTGTTGGAAATAGAATGTATGGAATCAATGAAGTTAGGCAAACATGGCTAAATCCTTTGAGCTGTCTTAAATGTAACACTTATTCCACTATACAAAACTCCCTAAATAATCCTCCTTACTCCTAACATGGAAGGAAGCATTTCTGTTTCTGACAACCAAATGAATTAAACATACTCTCGGGAATTTTGTTGCAATCAATCTCTAGACTGTTTTTATATTTATATTTTATATTTTGCAATCAATCTCTAGACTGTTTTCTTTGAAAACTGATAAAATACACCTGGATTTAGTCTTTCTTAGATTATTCTTACTTCTTGATTCAAATACTTTTTAGTTTAAAATGAAGTTTTCTACAATTACAAAACTGAAGACTTCTGGAGAAACAGCTTATGTTTCTTGTGGTGTGACAAAAGCTAATTATTTCATCTGCTTCTCTTTTTTTAATATTTGCATGTGAAAACCTATCGCTAACACTTGCGCATGTTTCTGTACTAACACACAGTATTTGTATTTCTCTCATATCACAAGGGAAAAAGTGACATATTTTTCTTTCTTTACATGTCTTACAGCTTATCAGGAAAAAAGCTCCCAACGAGTCTATTACCTGAGTTCTCAGCTAGAACTCTAATCTGTATTCTATTCAGGCAATCAAAAGGCAAGAAAATCCACAAGTAAGTTCTAAAAAGATATGGTAAGAACTTTTTTTTTTTTTTTTTTACATTATTTAAACAAAACCAAAAGTAAAACAAAACTTCCACTGGTACATACAAGCATTTCTACCAAACTCAAGTGAGAAGTATTTTAACAAATGAAATACATTTATCTGTCTCAAAATTTTATCCATTAAGCCCAAAGTGATGCTATTATCAAAAATATATGTAAATTAAAGATACTATATATAAAAATTAAGGAAAATCCATGAACTATTCCTACATATACTCACAGAAAGATAGCTGTTAATGTCCACGTCATCGGTAATGGTTTGGCGCTCTCCTTTATAATTAATTTTCCGAAACCTTCGTCGAGACTGTCTGGCAGGAATTTCTCTTTGTAGAATACTATCTTCATTATCTTTGGAATTTTCTACCTGAAACACATGTTCACATTCCTGATTAAATATCCAATTTTTCCATATTACTGACAGTCTATGGAGTCTTAACAGGCTCATAAGGAGGATTCATTTACTTCTTGCAAGAAACTACCTCAAGAAAATAGTCTGTATAGGACAATGTTCATGAGTTAAAGATTAAAGATGACATTATAATAAAGATCTGTAGACCACAGTTTCCTTCCAGGAAATAGTCTCACTCACATAAACATATAACCTCTAAGTAAAGTCACTTACCAGAAATGACAGCTGTTAACTACACCTACACATTCAATAATTACTACCTCTGAGTTAATCCAATTATAAGCTGCCTGATTTTACATTTATTTAGGGAACAATCATGGTTATGATTTCAGTGAAATGCTAAACGGAAAAACAAAAATGTTATGAATTCTTCTTTGGTGTCCATCTTAATATATGACAACAGCCAAGAGTAAGGCTGGCATCCTTTTTTAAGTAATCTCTACCTCCAATGTGGTGCTCAAACTCACAACCTCAAGGTCAAGAGCTGCACACTCCACCGTCTGAGCCAGCCAGGCACCCCAAGTCTGGCATCTTTTAAGAAAGAAGTGAAAACTAATAATTACTGAGGCCTTAAAATGGGCCAGCATGCATAAACATACTACTGAGTTCACACAGCAGTCCTGTAAGCAAGTATTACTATCTCTAGTTTACAGATGAACAAAGTAAAATCCAAAGAGACTGATAACTTTCCACTCTCACATTGAAATACTCATTATTAAAGGTGAGTTGGTGGGGTGCCTGGGTGGCTAAGTCAGTTAAGTGTCTGACTTTGGCTCAGGTTATGATCTTGTGGTTCGTGAGTTCGAGCCCTGCATTGGGCTATGTGCTGACAGCTCAGAACTTGGAGCCTGCTTCAGATTCTGTGTCTCCCTCTCTCTCTCTGCTCCTCCCCCACTCACGCTCGCTCTCTCTCAAAAACAAATAAAAAAAAATTTAAAGGTGAGTTGGAATATAGGTCTGTCTCCAACACTTATGGTACTGATACAAGACTACATTGCCTGTCCAGTCAGACTAAACCATACTTTTTGAAATTATTTTTAAAAAGGCATAATGATGTTCTAAAGTAAATCATGTAATTAACTTCACATCACATACATAATAATTTCAGTTTCCCCCACAAGTTTTCCTTCAAATGTTCTATCCTTTGCTATTATCAAAAATTTCTAGTTACCCAAGTGTGAAAATTTCATGAAAAATCCTAATTTCCCTGCTTGTCTTCCAAATCTTATCTTCAATCATTTCTCAGAACTTCTCAATTTTTGTTTTAAGAAATTCCTCTCACACTGCCCTTTCTTTCATTGTCATTACCACCATTCATTTTTCAAGTCTTACTTCAGTCCTGAACTACAATATACAAGAGTTGATCCTGATGCTTTAGTCCTGCTCGTCTCCAATGCCATCCTATATGGTCCAATAAATCCCCCAGATAAATCATCATGTCTCCTGTTCAATGGACCTCTAATAGTTACTAAATAAATTTTAATCTATTAAAACTGATATTCAAAAGCCACATATACTCCATCTCCAAAATGTTTTTATTACTTTATCTTACACAAGTAGGCCTGGGAAAACTGCTTCTTTATTCTTCTCCCCACACACACAAAAATCCCTCTCACATAAAAGCTCTAATGAGATATGCAAAATTTCCTGATGATTTCTCAGAAAGAGTTGATGTCTGTCTGCTTCAGTTATGAGGTATGAGAGTTCAAAAGTAGTGGCCAAGTCAATGTGACTATTCACTGGTCCCTATTAGTAACTTATATTCAACTTCCTTAATTTGTGCTACCCTACTCATTCTATCTTCACTTGCTGAAATAATACTAATCATTTAAGACACATTTCAATTACCATCTCTTCCATAACCAGAAAAAAACATTCCTCTCCTCCAGATCATAATTAGTTTATTCTGTATACACAACCTAGATTTCTCATTAAAAGGGCATGCTCTTGGGGCACCTGGGTGGCTCAGTAGGTTGAGTACCTGACTTTAGCTCAGATCATGATCTCACCTTTCGTGAGTTTGAGCCCCACGTCAGGCTTTGTGCTGACAGCTCAGAGCCTGGAGCCTGCTTCAGATTCTGTGCCTCCCCCCTCCTTCTCCCCTCCTCCACTTGCACTCTGTTTGTCTCTCTCAAAAATAAACAAACATTAAAAACAAATTATTTTTATAAAAAAAAAAGGACATGCTCTCCAGAGCCTTCAGGCCTTTGTATATGCTGCTGTTCCTACTGCCACAAAGCCCATTACTCCTTTGCTAACATCTTGGCATCCTCCACATACTTCGTGACCCGGTTTAAACAACCCTTCCTCTGCCCCAGAAAGCTGCTACCCTTTCTACAGCACTAAGCAGATTAACCATAATTATTACTAGATAAGCTCATCTCACTAACAAGTTTCCTAAGACAGGAAATGTATTATATATTTATCTTTGTTTACTTAGCATTCAAAAAGTTTGCCAAACTGGGCAATACATTAGATTCTTTCTCATCAGACATGTTAGATCCTTGGAAATACGTACTCAAGAAATATGAGGGTAGGCAGAACAAGTTACTATTCTGAACGGTAAAATCCAGAGACAGAGAAGAATAATAAGCATCTCAACAACTAAAGAATTTTGAATAGGTAGCAATATATGCTACCTCCTTGAGATTCAATTTGCTCTTCTAAAAAATGATGGGAGAACGATCACAGAATCACTACACAATACTATGTACCAGAAACTTTAAGTTATATCATTTAAAGTTCACATGGCCCTATTACACAGCTACTCTTTCTGTTTTGATACATGGTACAGAGTCTCGTGAAACTTAAGTAATTCATACAGGTGGGTAAGGACTCAAAACCCACGTGAAACTTAAGTAATTCATACAGGTGGGTAAGGACTCAAAACCCACGTGTGACTACTAAAAAGTTCATCTCCTTCACACTGCCTTATCTCAAGGGATGAATTAGATCACCCACTTTAGGTGAAATTTCAATACCATATAACCCTTAAATCTTCCAATATCTACCAATTATTGAGCAATAGCAGAGATACACAATAAAGGCTTTTCAAAATATAAATAGTAAATTAAATCTAGGAAAGGAGTTTCTAAGCCTCAAAATTTTAAGTACCAAATGAAAAGAAAAACCAAACAATATATGAAGGATTAAGTACCCTTAACAAATCTCCCTCCAAATACAACTGAAGTGTGAGATTTAAAAAAACTAAAAATAAAAAAATAAAAGCAAGCAAATGCATACCTCATGGCACAAAGGTAAGAAATCTAAAGGCCAACAACAAAGTGAAAGCAAATACCAGGAGACAGGCTACCAGATTTCTCAACTCTAGAGACTAGACCCTCCACTTTGATGGCTGTAGGAAGTGAGAAAGTCAAGAAATAGAAAATCCACCAAAAATGGGAAACCCAACAGGAGACTTACTCATGAAGCTCAACCCACTTACTTGAACCCTCACTGTTAGGGGTCTGGAGGAAAGGGCCCACTCTGCAGAGGAAGACAGTAAGAAAACTTGCTTGGCACTGAGAGAAGGGGGAGCGGGGAGCAGGTGGAAAGCAACCAAACAAACAAAAAACATTTTCCCTAAGAATCTAAAACGTAAGTCATCCCTCATGCAGGTCTGTACTTTAAATCTATTAATACCTTAACCATGTAAGTAAATTTAAAGGCATTCAGGACTGGTAAAGTACATATGCAATGGGCAAAAACAAATCTAAAACCTCTTTGCAAGAATGCAACTTTAACCTAAACCTCAAAAACTGCACACCTAAAATTCAAGACAATGACCTCATGGACAAACATACTTTCTCCCTCAAAAAACAAGGGAAAAAAAACCCCAACTACAACAAAATCCCAACACGAGAACAAATAATAGACATGATGAACAATAACGGCCAGAAAAAGGACAAGAGACTCATACTTGCAAACACTCCCATGTATTTTAAGTATCAGAAAATATAAAGTTATAATAAAAAAACCTCCAAACAGAAAGAAATTTGGAAATGAGCCAGAGATTATAAATAACAACTAAGAAGATAAGGCTTGACATGGACAAAGAAAAAAAAATTTCTCTCAAGTGCCCTTCCTCCCCAGTGCCAGGCTAGCAAACAATGAGGAATAAGCAAAAGCAGTGTTCATTTATGAAGAGGATCACAACATGGAGAGCCTGTATGAAACATAAGAGCAGAAGAAAGGCCTAAAACTGGGGGGTGGAACAAGAACACTTAGAAAAATCTTCCAAGAAACCAATCCCAATCCTAACCACAAAGTGAAACTAGAGGAATTTGAAAGCATTAGTGAACTAAAGTTAACTGTAATAATAAAAAAATCCAAACCTAGCTCAACTCTAGCAGAAGAGGTGTGGCAGGCTTAAACACTATCTATCCTAAGTCTCTATTACCTTACACACAATGTGTATCATTAAATCCAAAATAATGAGTCATATAAAAATAAAAAGGGTAAAGAAACAAACAGCAAAAACAAACAGAAATCTAATACACTGCTACAAGACAAAGCAAACAATAGAGCAATCCATGAAAATCAGACATGACCCAGATACGGAAACTATCAGAGAATTTAAAGCAACTATGAATGATATAATAAAGGTAGAAAGATAGACAATATGAACAGATAAAAAAATTCAGCAGAAATAAAGAAAATAATAGAGTAAAATTACAATGTGAGAAACAAAAAACATGGTACTAAAGATGAAAAAGATGTTATGCAACTGAATTAAGTAGTGAACTTAAAAGACAAAAAAAATTACCCAAACTGAAATACAGAAAAAAAAAAAAAAAGAGAGAGAGAGAGAGCAAAAAAAGAAAGATGAGGGAAGTAAACAGTGTATTGAGATGTAACTAAAAAAAGTATTAGGAAACTGGGAAGATAAGGCCAAAAGAAATCATACAGGATGCAGTATAGAGTCAGGATGAGATTAAAAAAAAAAAAAAATGGAA